AACTGTTATTATAAGAAAGGCATATAAATAGGTTGTGAGAATTTGCGTATTGACATCACAGCTCAAAGTTTTTACCCTCGGAAGTGTTCATGTTCTCCATTTCTTGAATGCCACAGTGTTTAACTTTAAACCGCGCGAGGAATGGTGCCTTGGCTGCACTCTGCATGGGAGTTCCTGAGTTATAATCAATACTCAGCACCAGGGCCTCCGGGTTGCTTGGAAGGTAAACGCCCTCCTGGGCCTGGATCTTACTTAATGCTTCAAGACACGCTTGCTTTCGCTCAGGGCCTTTTGGGAATGGTCTGTGGAACGCAAATTAAAACAACATCAACAAGCTTTGTTACCTCTTGGTCTCACAGAAATATTTTACAAGTAATATATAAAACACGAAAGACAGTGTTTCATCGGGATATCTGAACACCGAGTCTAAGAGAGTTGCAAATACGACGCGCAGCGCAGTATTTTTGACGAAATTCGGTGTTTGGATAACCGATGAAACAGTGTCTCGAGTGTTTGATATATCTTCTCAATCGAAACAAAAACTAAGGAGTAAACGGAAAGGAGAAGTAAAATCGTCAAAAATCCATGCTAATTAAAACCGGGTATCCGAACCTCCTTCAGAGTGATTTTCTTTGTTTTAACTTGATGAATTATTAATGAGTTTGGGAAAGTTGTATATAGAAATCTGGCTACCTGAAATAACTAGAGAGTTCAACAGGGCAGGCAGCCAGGTCTATAGAGGTATTAGTACTGACAAGTTTGAGCAGGTACACACACAGACAACACTGAACACACGGCGAGCACTAAATAAGTACTGTACTAGAACACTTGGTAATGCTATAGGATAAGAGGAATGTAGAGCAAATAGAAGCTAATAGAAAGAAATAGAACAAAACAGCCTCACAGATCTACAATGCAAGCGCTCCTAGTATCGTTCGAAATATCAGCTCGCATAATATGTTTTTCCAAAAAGAAAAAAAGGTTTACAATACAGACAAGAATCTCTTTCCTGCAGCGCTAATGTCAACACAGTTCATGGGTGTCATTACAGGCCGGGCACCAGGCAAACTGATCGGCCGTGAGGACGGTTTTGCCCGCCTGATTTAACCACCTAACGGAAAGTCGTTTTTCTTATAAAGAAGTTCAGTCCAAAAAGTTTTGCCCGCCTGTGAAAACCAGTTATCCTCCTGATGAAAATGTTAATGAAACCCCTGCAACACCAAACTAAATAGAATTTTGTTCATCTGGTTCTGAAAATGCCTACCTTATAGTTCCTGATATTGAAGTGACTTTATCGAAGAAGTCAAATTCCCTCTTGTAGAACTCAAGCGCTGTTCCCGATAACGAGTTTTTTATCCGGTCAATCAGGTTTTCTAAGTGAGCGCCTATTTCTGGATCTTTGTGGAGAGCTTCCTCGTCCGTGAACACGTTCGTTTTCATGTTCCAGATCAGCTGCAATACAGTTTAGAGAACGGATCAGGGTATAATAATAACTTTATGAAGACATGATTGATCATCGCAGTTTTTCATACAACTTAAGCAGTTCAGTGTGAAATTAAAGCCACACACACACACACAAAAAAAATCAGGCTTGAACGGGATTCGAACCCATGACCTCTGCGATACCGGTGAAGTGATCTACCACTGAACTGAACTATCAAGCCAACTGGGAGCTGGTCGCATTGTGAGTTCATAATTAATATACCCTTAGATGGTGAAGATAACTTCATAATAATAAATGTATTGTATCCAGCACTGATGTGCTAAGTGGGGATACTGTAAATAACTAAACTTATATTGCAAATAGAACATAAACTATTAATAATCCCAACTGGTTGGAGGTTGACCAGTTGGCTATTTACACAACGAGATCTCGGGACTTCCGAAAAAAAAAAAACATTCAGATTGCCGCGGTACGCTGGAAGATTTGGAGCAGAGACCTTCAGATTTCAATTCCACCGCCCTAAACTACTCGGCCACACCGCCTCCAGCGTCCTAATAAGCTGATGTCCCTGTGGATCTCAGTCGGTGTAACTGTGTCTTTTTTTATGCTCTGTACACAAACATAAAAATGTCAGATCGGCCAAAAATCTGCATAAGTATGTGTTCGTGCACTCTGCAAAACTTTGATCACCAGTCCTATTGCGCGAAGGCAACCCTGATCCTAATCGAGGATTAGCGTTGCTTTGGAAATAAATAAACAACAAGAAACACAACAAAAATGGTTTTCCCCTACCTGATGAGCGAGAAGCTGCGAATGCTGGGCGGCCCACAAAATGTACTCACTAACGAACCCCAGAGCATCATAGCGCGTGGCCTGTACCAGCTGAGGAATGTACAGCAAGATGGCGTCTGGCGGGAAGGACTGGAGAACACGGAACGCATACTGTGCTGTCAGGGGGTGGGGTGGGTACTGTTGTGAGAAGTACGCCATAGCCTGGACAGGAGGAATGGCTGCCCAACACAGAACATGCGTCAACTCCGGGATATCGGCTTTGAT